TGAAGGACAGGAAGGCCTGGCGCGATATGGTTCATGGGGTCATGAAGAATCGGACACGACTGAACGATTGAACAACAACAACAAAATCACCAACAACTCCTGGTTAATATTACTCAAACAGATCACTACTCTTCAGTGGTGACATTTCATTTTCAAAGGGACAGTAGACTCATATTTACTTATATACAATTACTAACAGCAAAGACTATATCATAGTAATACAACTGCGGAATCAAACCCTGCAGCATATCTATAGTAGCAACATTACTACAGAATCTAACAACATCTGGAGAAGACACTTAAAAGTATCAGGAGGAAGACTCTGGGATGGTATATGCCTTCAGCTCTGAGCAAACCTATGGTACATTTCTCCCTCCCTTGGGACGCAAATCTCTGTGCAGTATGATGAATCTCACAGAAAAAATTACAATATCCAAAACGCAGCTGGAATTTACTTCAATTTTCCAGGAGTGCAGTCTTGGTCATAATTGCTGAAATTCTTGAACGACAGAATGATACAATTACGATCTGAAACAGTTCCATTACGTGTTATCCATTGCTGTTGGATTAAATCAAGGTTTCTTATCAAATGGCAGGGTAATCATTTATGTCTTTCACTTCTCACCTCTCCTTTCATCATTCCTCCTTCCCGTCCCGTTTTTCCTCCTCTGATAGCTAAGCAATAGCTATGTGTGTTTATGTGTATTCTCAATACATACACATAAATACATATGCTTATACTCAATTTGCTTGAAGTACACTGCAACTCACTCAGACTTAGAAGATAATAAAATTATTATTTAATATGCAAGATTATTTTCAATAAACAACAAGTAGTAAACAATATTCAAGAATGAATGGCTTCTCAGCAGCTCTCTATCAAGGGTACAAAAACATAGCCCCTTCTACTAGCCTGACTTGTTCGTAACAAGTTGTACAATCTAATAACGTTAGTGTAGAATAAGATAACCTTGACAGAAATATGCAAGACTCATTACCTAGACAGAAGGAGCTGAAACCTTTTTAAGTCCAGAGCAAAGAGATAAAATTCAGAAGCAGCTCACGCAGAAACTTCCCCAATTAACTGGACTATAAGGAGGGGAAAAAGCTATGGCACAGTCAGACTTGCAAGACTCTGTTATTATAGCCAATCTCAAGAAATGTAGTTTCAGCCTTCCTGTGGAGTGGATTTCTTGGTCTGCTCTACCTAGTGGAGTTGACAGAATTTGAGACAATACTTGCCAAAGAGACCTTGGGATACTAACTGAGTGCAAACTAAGTATCAGCCAGCAGTATGATGTAGCTACCCTGGGAGATAGTGAAATCCTCAGCACTGGATGCTCAAGGAGACTGGACAGTCATCTAAGATGCTTCCACTCTGACTCCTGAAAAGAGCAGGAAGCTAGGCCTGATGGCTTAAATGACCCTTCCCATCCCTTTAATGGGGAACGGCATCCACTGCCTACTCGCTCATTTCCTAAAGTTGAAGGCTATGGCCAAGGGCCTCATGCGCCCATAGATTCCTCCTGCAGTTCACGGTATCCTGAGACATGAGCCCAATCCCATCTGCTTTGTGGTGCATTTGAGCCTTGGATGTGACCTCCTGTTTGTAGTGGAGTCTGTATGGCAGCTGTACCATATACTTTCCACTGACTATAGAAGAATCTCATTAACAATCTCGTTGATGATTCCTGTGTTTTACATTCCAATCCATTCCTTTCCTTGCTTAGGAAACAGCCCCCCATGCCTAAATTGCTGTCACAAGGAGAACACTGCAGCCTTGGGGACCTCCTGCTAAGAAAACTATCAAGATGCTCTCTAGTGTGGCCTCAGCCTCCTTGTATGCCCTTTGTGCACTGAGATAAATTCTGCTTGCCACATTATGAGCTACAGGAAAACTGTTGTCCACAGGAAATTCTGATATTTTTATGTGTAAGCTGCCAAGAGTCACTTGTATAGTGAGATGGCCAGTGTACAAATTTGATAAATAAATAAATACATAAATATCATAGAAAATGAAGATTTGGAACAATGGAAGTAAAATCTAATACAAAATCTTTTTCCATTTTTTTCCTATGGGGAAAATTCTCACTTCTGTAAAGAATAAAATACTTAAGCCACTTTTTAAGAATTTTAGGTAAAGCAACACACTATAAGAAAACAATAATCACATATAGACACTAAGAACCTGTGTATATTTCCAGCCATACATAGCAAAGAAAGATATTCTACAAACAGAAGAGGAACAAAAAGGATCAAAAAGGGTCAAAAGCAACTTCCCTACAATGAAAGATTCCAGTTGAAGTGTTTGGCTAATTTAAAAAGGTGGCATGCAGAGTGGTGGATACCATGAATGATGACTAATTAGGACAGCTTCATATTAGTTGTAGCACTAGGAGCAATAAGCTGAGAAACATGAATAGGAAAGAACTACTGTTTGTGGGTCCCAGAGGTGGCTACCGCGGAAACAAAATGAAGAATTAGGAGAGCTTTCTGGATGACCCAACACAATTTCTATATTCTTAATCTACAAACTTTACGTTCCCAGAGCTGCTCACTCCCCCTTCTCAAGCACCTGGGCAATGGGAAACAGACTGAGGTGGCACCCGTCTTGTGGGGAAATAGATCAGCTTTACTGGGGAGGAGGACTGGGCTAGTATCACTTCACATTTGCTTCCAAGTTAGTCTTATTAAAGTGGTGCAACTTCTGAAGCTTTCATGGGGGTCAAATCACACTCAAGGCTGCTTTGTAAGCTAAAAATAACAGCAATCAGTGCCAGGTTCACGAAAGCCAGCTATGAGCCTCGGCTATTTATTGCCCATCCTTTGGTCGCTGGCATCCCGTGTACCGCCTACCATTCTCCCATGCCCATCTTACGGCCAACCTTTGGATGCATTTTTGTGGCCCCTTTAAAGCAGAGCATCCCAACGGAGGGGGCTTTTAAAGAGGAGGGTGGGATTCTTTTCTTTTCTGCTTGGCAGCTTCCCATGCGCTACAGCCCCCTAACCTCGCAGCCCCCGGAGGGCTGGGTGGGAGCACAGCGGCGGGGCTCCTGGCCCCCCAGCAGCTCCCTCCCCCGCGCCGATCCCTCCCCGAGAGCGCTCGAGGGCA